TGAGACTCTGTATTAACTGTTGTCCACTTCAAAAAGAAGCTTCTCTGATGATGGTTGAGAACTGCATAAATTCATTGGTATAAAGATAAGTGTTTAACAACATGGGTGCACTTACACACATGTAGGCAGTACACTTGCACATAAAATAAAAATAAAAAAATAAAATATTAAAAAAGATAAGTGTTTAAAAGGCAGTTTGATACTACAATCATTTGGCAAAACAATAGTAGCATGTTCTCTCCTAGGGTCTATGACCTCTCAACTCATGGGTTCATGACTAGGTTTATAGTACCAGGGTTTGGGGAGGAATAAATTACACTAAAGAGCTTGAAAAAAGCCACATGGAAGCCAGTTGTTTTAGAAGCTTCCTTAAAATCTTGTGTGTGTGTGTGTGTGTGTGTGTGTGTGTCTGTCTGTCTGTCTGTCTGTCTGTCTGTGTCTGTGTGTCTGTGCATCTGTATATTTTACATGGAGCTACCCTCTATGAAAGGATAATGTCGCTTGAAGATGCCATATGCTATCAAACAAAAAGCCCAGTGCCAGGTGTGGGTTAACATGTGTATTAGTTACTTTTCTGTTGCTGTGATAAAACACCATGACCAAGGCAACTTATAGAGGAAAGAGTTTATTTGGGCTTATGGTTACAGAAGGGTAAGAGTCCACCATGGTGGGAGGTATGGCAGCAAGTTGCAAGCATGGTGGCAGGAAGCAGAGAGAGTTTATTGGAAGTAGGGAAAAACTATGAACTCTCAAAGCTGCCCCCCACAAAGTGACATGCTTCCTCCAGCAAGGCCACATCTCCTAAAGGTTCCATAACTTTCCCCAAACAGCACTACCAACTAAGAACCAAGTGTTCGAATAGTTGAACCTATGGGGGCCATGTCTCATTCAAACATCCACATTCCACTCCTTGGCCCCCACAAGCTCATGGCCATCACATAACGCAAAATGTATTTATTTCAACTTTAAAAGTTCCCACAATCTTTCACAGATTGAACACTGTTCAAAAGTCCAGTTTCTTTTGAAATTTAACACAATCTTTTAGCTGTAATCTTTAAAAAAATCAAAAGACAAATTACATATGTCTAACATATAATAACATGGAATACACATTTCTAATCCAAAAGGGAGGAATGGGGGCATAGTGAGGAAATATCAGACCAAAGCAAGCCTAAAAACTAGCAGAACAAAGACCAAATCCTGTAGACCCATGTCTTATGTCAGGAGCTTTAGTTTCAAAGGGCTTAGATGGCGCTGCCCCTGCTGCCTACAACATGCATCACTCTCTTGGGCTGGTTCCAGTCCCTGTATGCAGCTCTCCTTGGCAGATGTCTCACAGCTCTGGCATCTCTAACATCTTAGGGTTTCTATTGTAGCCCAAGCTTTACACAATGACTTCCTAGGGCTTCCTGCCCTCCCAGAGCCTTCATGCAGGGACTCCCCTTCCACACATTGTCTGGTCGCAGTCTCTGAAACTATGGAGGAATAATCTAGGACCCCTTGACTCTTGCATCTTTCATGCCTCCAAAGCCAGTACTATGTGAATGATACTGCCAAGTTTGACTGCCATCTTGGGGTAGATTCTTACCTCCTTGAATTTGCAGCAGCTATACTATGTTGTTGTTTTCCAGGAGCGGAAAACTCCTTAGGCCTTTTCCTTCCACAAGTTGGAAGCTTAACTGAGTAGGGTCTTGGCCCAAGGGCACTCTTCCTGTTGTTCCAGTGCAGAGCAACCCTCTCCTTAATGATACTAATCTCCTTAAAAATTACAGCCTCTTTTCCAGCACATACCTTGGCTTCAACATTAAGCTTACTAGTATCTTTTCTCTCCGAACTATACATTTTGTATTTCTTTCTGCCACACTTGCTTTTTTTCGTTGTAGACCTGCATAAAAATATCAGCAATAATCATGCCACAGATTCAACAATAAGCTGTCTTAAAATTTCCTCTACCAAGAAAATTAGTCCATTGCTTTTTAATTTAGCCTCAGGCAAGTTCTTAGGACAGGGGCAAAAGGCAGCCAGATTCTTTCCCAAAACGCCATATGAATGGCCTGTAACCCAGTTGCTGTTTTAAATCCTTGCCTCCATGTCCCTCTGAAACATCTTGAGCTGGGCCTTTATAATCCACATTACTCTCAGCAACACTGTCTTCCAGGCTCTGACTAGAATGACCTGCTAAGCTCTGCTTATGGCATTCAACCACTTTTTTAGTCCAAAGTTCCGAAGTCTTCCCCACTCTGCATACCAACTGTGGTATTAGTTACTTTTCTGTTGCTGTGGTAAAATACCAGGACCAAGGCAGCTTACAGAAGGAAGAGTTTATTAGGGCTTATAATTCCAGAGGGATTAAGAATTCATCATGGAGGGGAGGGATGGAAGCAAACAACGGGAGCTGACAACTAAGAGATCACATCTTTAACCACAAACATGAAGCAGAAAGAGCACACTGGAAGTAGGGTGAGGCTATGAACTCTTAACGCCTGCCTGCAGCAGCCTATATATCCTAAAGATTCCATGACCTCCCAAACTGTGCAATCAACTGAGTACCAAGTGTTCAGCACTTGAGCCTGTAGGAGACATTTCTCATTCAAACCACCACACTTTCCTTCTCGTTGTTTTTCAGGGGGTCCCATGGACCCCCCCCCCCCGGCTCCAAACAATAAAGGCTACTACCATTGCTCTTGGTTACCCACCAGAACTTGAAGGTGAGATTCTATTGCTGAAGACATCACATATTTAAGTCACGGAACATGAAGAAATAAAACTGGTACTGACCTGGACACTTCCTCCCTACTGGTTCACTTTCATAGTGCTGGAAGGTGTTATATAGGCTGCTGGGGTTGTGTCATAGATGGCTTTGATTGTCAACTTGACACATCTGGGAAAAGAAAACCTAAACTGTGGAATTTCCTCCATTGAATTGGCCTGTGGAAATATCAATGAGGATTTTCTTGATTGTTGAGCAATAGGGGAAGGCCCAGCCCACTGTGAGTGGTACGATCCCTAGGCAGGTAGCCCTGGGCTATATAAGAAAGCAGGCTGAACACAGGCCATAGAAAGCAAGTCAGTAAACAGTGTTCCTCTGTGATTTGTGCTTTAGTTCTGGCCTTTAGGGTCTTACCCTGAGTTCCTGCCCAACTTCCCTCAAGGATGGCCTGTCATTTAGAAGGGTAAGAAGCAATAAGCTCTTTCCTCTCCAAGTTATTTTTGGTCAGAGTGTTTTATCACAATAGTAACTAGGACAGAGAGAAAAGTAATTAGCAATCTTACCTAGCTGTGAACCCTGCAAGCAACAATAACAACTGGTTCAGAAAGATATGCCCATTAATACAATGGTGGTATGGGTGTCTTGGGGGTAATCAACAGCTTTCTGATTGATTGGAGTTATTAAGGCTCAATCCACAGGCAGGAACTCCAATCAATTAATGTTTTTAATGATTATAGGTTTTTTGGTCTTTTTTTGAGTGTATATGTGTCTTTTTTTGGTGGTATTGGGGATTGAACCCAAGGCCTTGTATATGCTTGGTAAACCCTATTGGTTACTTTTCTGTTGTTGTGATAAAACATCTTGACAAAGGCAAACGATAGAAGGAAGAGTTTATTTAATTTATGCTTCAGAGGATTAGAGTCCATAATGGTGCGGGATGCATTGCAACAGAGGTCGCTGGAGTAGAAAGCCAAGCAATCACATCTTCAAACAGGCATAGGAAGCAGGGAGCTCCTGGAAATCTGGCAAGACTTAAGAATTCTTAAAGCCTGGCCCCAGTGACATGCTTCCTCCAGCAAGGCCTTACCTCCTAAAGCCTCCTCAAATAGCACCACCAACTTGGGTGGTGTCTAAATACTTGGAGCATATGGGGGACATTCTTATTCAAACTATCACACCCTCTATTACTGAGCTGCATTCTCTCTCCTTTTTGTCCTTTTTTGGGGGCAGGGGTGGGGGGCACTGGGTCTTACTAAATTGCTCAGGCTGGCCTTGAACTGATCCTGTAACCCAGTCAGACCTTGACCTTTTTATTCCTCTACTTTAACTTCCTGAGTAGCTGGGATTATAGGCCGGAGTCACCAGGCTGACTTGTCTTATCTAAGAAATTTTTGCCTTACTTAAGGTTTCATGTATTTTCTCTTGATAATTTTAGACTTTTGTTGCTTGAGACAGGGTCTCACGCTGCAGCCCAGCCTAGCCTCAAACTCACAACAGTCCTTCTGAGTGCTAAGGTTACAGTTGTGAGTTACCAGGCCCAGCTTAATTCTAGATCTTAAGTGTACATCTGTGACAAGTCTGACTTTTTACATTGGATATCAGGTATGGGTGGTGGTTCGTTTCCCTCTCTTTCCCCTCTCCACCAGTGCTAGGGATTGAACCCAGGTCCACAGGAATGCTAGGCAAATGCTCTATCACTGAGTCACACTCCCAACGAACGCATCCTTTTCTTTTCTCTACCCCCTTTTTCCACATAAATGACCTTGACAGGGAGAAAGGTTTCTATGTTCAGCTGTGATCCCAGAAGACACTTTCCAAAAGTATGCACCAAGCAGGACACAGACCCCTCCTATCTCCTGGAATCAACCTAGAACAGCAATAAAAATAGCATCTCACGGAACTCCTGGGAAGGTGGAGTGAGTTCTTGTCCATAGAGTCCTTACTAGCGGCACTATTCTTACCAATCGCACTGGCTCTGAATCTCACTGCTTCTCCTAGCCTAGCGGTTGGGAATTTGTATAGATAGGCTGTCAGAAGGATGCCATCTCCCACTTCCTCTTACTCCTCCTTGCCCTTGTTCTACATCAGTGTTGTCTTCCTATGGGAAGAGACTCAGTGACAGGCAAAGTGCAAAGGAACTTGCTTTGCCAAGTTCATGGGGTTCCTACACTCTGGAGCCCGCTGCACTGCCCTCCTGTCGGTCTTTTTGGTTGTCAGGGTTGTAGAAGCCAGACAAGCCAGACATGCGGCTCCATGGCAGTGTTGGCCTGTCTCTCTCCTCCCTGTACAGATCATCTTACCATGGTTAACGTCGTCAGACAAGACACATGAGCAGACCCGAGTCTTGGGCACTATTACCCGGTTGCTAAGATTCATTTGCACCTTCTCTGAACTGTTGGTGAGTACTTGGGGAATAGTGCTCTCTGCACAGGAGCACTGACTGAGCCCAGGCTCTTGGGAAGACTGGTGGTCAGAGGGCCTCCCACTCTTTTGCATCAGTGCTTTTCTGTTCCTGAGAGACAAGAGACTTGATTGTTCTTCGGTTTGCTCTGAACCTAGAGATCTCAATTAGTCGGGTGCCTTGAAGCCTTGTTGGCCTACACAGCTGGCTAGAGACCCAGCTGCCCACTGGCTAATGTGTTTAGGGCTCTGGCTGCCCCTTTCTTTGTAACCTGGTTAGAGAGGCTTTTCTTGTCCAGGATAGTGTAGAGTTGGGGAGGGCAGGGATACGCATAGGCAATGATGGAAGAACATGGAAAAGAGGGTTGAGGGTCTCACTGGGGAGAAGCTCTTTTCAGGATGTTGGACAGCTAACCATTTTTCACTTCCTGTCAGCACATGACATCGTTTTCCATAAACGGGAAACTAATGGGCATCTTGGGCCTCTTCTGTATGAACGCCAATCAAGAGATCAGTGCAGGGGCATCGGAGGCTCTATATTACTTGTTCACGATGCTTGTACTTCAGAGAAGTAAGTGAGCTGAGCCTGGGTGACTACTTACTGTTGGACCCACTGAATCAGAGGATGTCTGCATTGTTTCAGACATTGTCCAAAAGGCTGGTCCCTTTTCTGGGGTTACCCAAGAGGGAACATGATATGCCATGATGTAGGGAGAACAGCTGATCAACAATGAGTAGATCTGAAACTTAATCTGCATGAGTGCCAACCCCATATCTGATACCATGTCCTTTTCAATGATGTTCTTGGGGGTGATGGGGAAGCTAAGCTTGTACCCCAGGAGGGTCTGTTTGGGTCTTTAATATTTCCCAGTTGTCCATCCTAAGTGTAACACTGGGGAAGTAAGCATCCTTTCTCGGGGAACAAATCTGGGGATCCTTGATCTAGCTCCTCTGTCCCAGAAAATCACAATCATAGATGTGACATTGGAATTTGCAAACACCCCTAAGTGAGTTTCAGAGAGCCTGGCTTCTTGTGATTCAGTAGGGGATTCATGTTGCTAAGCACATAGGGATGGATCAGTAGAGATTCTGTCATGTTATAGGGGCCCAGCTTGAGTCCCCAGCCACGTCTTCTCTCTACCTTTTTCTTGGGTGCTAGGGAACTCCTTCCCGTTCTTTTGGGTTACTGCTATTTCATCCATTTATCACTATTGCTCTGAGGATTGGAGGGGAGATGGGAACTTGGGTTTCTCTCCCTCTTACTAGCCCCTTGCTTTCTGTTTTTGGATTGGAGGTATGAGACCAAAGACACAGAGCATCCTGAAGGACTTACAGAAGCATTTCCATGGAAATTGGCTGGCCAACATGCAGAATCTCACATTGGTAATCCACTGTCCATTATGCACAGGATCCACAGAGGTGGAGGGTTAGCAGAGGAGAAAGAGGGCTGGGGGATAGATTGAAGAGGGGACCCTGAAGTGGGGCCACAGAAGAGTAATCTCCATAGACTGGGGCATCATAGACTGGGGCAAAGTCCAAGGTCTTGGGGATAGCAGGCTGGAGGTATAAGGTGATTCTCTTAGCCACACTTGAGCTGTGTGAAATTTGAGGTCACCAGGTGAGTTTTAGGGAAAAGTATGGTCAACATTATTCTCTGCCTGTACAGTGTGCTAGTGTGCCTTTGATTGTGCTTTAGCTCTAACTTCATTCAGTAAGGGCATATGGGTTGTCTTAGCTCTAGTGTTCCCAGGCTAGACAGCCAACCCTGATTACTTCAGCCAGAAATCCAGGGGTCATTTTGTTCCTTCCTTCCCTTCCCTTTCCACATACAATTCAGCACTACACCTGTCTTCTCTGCCTCCTAAGCAGCTCTTGAATTTGTCCACCCTGATGTAGCCCTACTTCAGCCCCTGACTGAGTCTGCTATAACGTCTTTCTTGCCTGGGTCACTACAGTTGTCCCGTTTTCAGCCATGTCTCTGTCACTTCATACCTATGTGCATCCAGAAAGATATTTCTAAAGTACAGACCTCATTGTAGTATTCTTCCCAGACTGTAAGATGCCCCCGACCATTGTCCTTATTCTGCAGTTTGAACTTCCACAGTTGGCCTGCAAGGACATTTGTGCTTTATCTGTCCTGCCTCATCCTGTCTCAACTTCCTCTTCTCCCTACCCAGGTCTCTGGTGCAGGACACTACAGTCCCATTGAGCTCCTCTCAGCATGAGCTCCTCTCCCAGCCTTTGTACATCCTGCCCATTCCTAGAACTTGCTCCCCATTTTCCCTCAGTCTGGACTCCAGGACGCCTCCTCTAGTCTGTCAGGCTGATTTCAGCACCCTGCCACAGGCTTTGTTAGCATTTCTCACATCTCACTAGCTTTCCTCCTTCATTGTTCCAACTGATGGTAAGTTCCTAGAGGGCAAAGGCATAAAGGCATCTTGTTATCAGCCCTCCCCAGATCCCAATAAGAGAGCCATATACATAGTTGTCACCAATAATGTTTGAATGCAACAAACTTCACATGGCAGTGCAGATTCATACATGAGGCACTGAGGTTTTATGGAACAGCGGGTCTCTTTGCTTTGGAAAGCTGTAAACTTACTAGGCACAGAACTCCTTGCCAATTGACTCCCCAGATTGCATTCTGAGCTCAGAATTGAAATGCTTCTGTCACTGTCCTCTGTGTCACAGTGTCTGGGTTATTGATCATTGCTGGGGCTTCATACACACATACTTCCCAGGGTCTGCCTCCCCAGGGGATCCTGCTTGATGGGTTTCTCTGGAGGCCAGAGGCTTTGGGGCAGTCTTTAAATGGGACACTGGCAAAGTGGAGAGCTCTTCTCTTCTTTCAGTTCTTCAGGAAATACCTGACCCCTCCAGAGAGGGCTGATGTGCTCATGGTGGCCTTAGAGGCCACGGTCAGTACCAGCATGTATGAAGTCTTTGCAGCCTCCAAGATGTTAAAGATGATCATGAAGTACACTCTTGTAGAAATTGCAAAGGTAGGCTTTCTGGAGGATTCAATGCTTCAAAGTCTTTCTGTTTTGTTTTGGGGTCTTGTTCTGTTTTATTTCCTACAGGCTTCAGTTTAAGGAATCCCAGTCCTTTAACCCAAGGAGAAGCAGCTAAATGGTGAGTAGTTTGAAGTAGACCAAAAGACATTTCTGTGGGAAAGAATGAGGTGTTGACCACCAGGACCTCACCTCTACCAGGTAGGCAGAAATTGAGTCAAAGCTATAGCACAAGAGTACTGTGGGCTAACAGGACCAAGTGACACCTTTGTCATCCCTCCTTCTTCCAGACAGTGGGCAGGGATTAGATATGTGGCTCTATCTTCATTCAGGTAAGAGAATGTCTGATCGAGGAGAAGGGTAGATATAGGTGCAGATTATACATATATCTATAACTTTTGCATTGCTGTGACCAAAGTACCTGACACAGACAACTGGAGGAAAGGTTTATTTTTGTTCACTGTTTCAGAGGTGTTCGGTTTATTGCAACAGGGAAGGAATGACAAGGAATCTTAGGACATGGTGGCAGGAGTGTGTGGAGGAGGCTATTCACATGGCAGCAGACTAGGAAGCAGAGAGGGTGCTGGAAATGGGGCCAGGGTATTGCTTCCAAAGACCCCACTTCTAGTGACCTACTTTCACTAGTTAGGCCCCACCTCACAAAAGTTCCACAGCCTCCCAAAATAGTGCTGCCAACTGATGAGCAAGTGTTTAAAGCCTGAGACAGTGAGAGTGTGGTGTCGCACATTTTCTGGGGAGACATGAACAAATAAATGTCTATTCACCCCAGATAGGAACATGGCAACAGACTAAAGTAATGATACCACCAAAGTCTAACTTGGTAAACCAATGAGTTTGCTGCAGTTATTTACAGGAATGTGGGTGAGAGTTACAGGAGCAGGGAAGACTCAGAGGCAGCTGTATTACTGAAAGCCCATCTCAGTATAAGGGACAACTCACAAAAGCTAGAACCTTCAGCAGTCTCCACTGTTTTATGTATAAGCTTAGGGAGAACTGGTCTTGGGAATCTGGGAAGTTTCAGGGACTTCCTGAGACTTCTGAGTTGTTTACTTCCTAAGTCTTAAAGAGCCTCCTTTCAGAACTTTCTGAATTTTAAGGAGCTTACCTCTAGGATGGAATGTTTCAATTAGGAGGAAATTGCTATACAATAGAGGATGTTTCAAATTCAAACCATTCTAGTTTTCTTCTTGTGTCTACGATAAACATGCTGACCAATATGGTGGCGCAGGAATCTCTGGGCACCAGCTGCTGGGTGTGGCGCCGGTCTCCTGCGTGCACCTGGGGTGCGGCGGGTCCCGCACCGCGTCGCTGTGGGTCTCTGCTACCGGGGCTGGCCCGGTCGGTTTCCGTCCCAATTTCCACCGTGCACTCCCTCGAGATACGAAATCCACCGGCCGCTGGATCAAGTGGGGATGTGTGAGGACGGCAAAAGCTGGATTTCCGTGAGTCGATGACAGAAGGATAGTGCCCCCTGGGGAGACTGGATCATAGGCAGTAAGACACAGGACTCAGCTCAGTCAGTGGTACAGCCCCTTTATTCAGTGACTCAGCTCGGCTCCAAGTCTTAGTGATCCAGCTCCGATTATTGAGGGGAAACCAGGATATTTTATACTATGGGGGTGGTAGTAAAAACCTTAGCTGATAGGTACTCCTGAAATGCTTCATTTACATAGGGCGGTGGGCTTCTATCAGGCTATCAGACAATGCCTGATTAAAACCTGGTAGCTCCTGTGCCAGAGGGAATGAATTTGTGGCGAGCACTTAAAGAGAAGGGTCAGGGAGGATGCCAGGAAGGCACTCTGCTATGAAAGGAGTCTGCAGCACATGGTTTTCCGAGCTCATGAGCTATCCGGATGTGAAGAGACTTCTACTTGCATAACAGAGGACCCCAACATCTCCCCCTCTTTGATTAAAATATGAAAAAGTGTCATCGCCAGCCCTAAGAAGCAACTCATTTCATCTCGGGAAAATCCAAAGTTTGATAACTGACCATGACCTGTTTCCTGTGGTGATTTTAGCAAATGGCAGTAACAATCAGCAAAGAAATCTTAAGGAGCAGTGAGCAAGCACAATACATAGTATCATCAGAGAGCAATAAGGGATAGGAGCCATGCAAAACAAGCCAATAGATTACAAAGTTTTGAGGGTGTTAACATTGGTTTCAACAACATCTGATTCATATACAAAGAAACAGTATCTTTCCCAATATCATATAGTCCCATGTTTAACAGCTATCAAGTCCAATGTTCTTTTATTGTGAAGCATAACTTCTGGCAAGAAAGTTCATCTGCTGCTGGAGAAACTCCTGGCTACCAGTTACGAATGTCACTGCTCGGTTCAGCTTGTCTTCAGCCAAGGGCGGAGTCGATACAGCGTGTTGTCATGGCAACATCTCCAGCATCCAGTGCAGGTTCGGTCTCCTGTCAGTAGGGGGAAGAAGATCTTTCTCTGCTGACAGCTCCTGGGATGTAATTGTTGTTATACAAAGGTGGATAAAGAGAAATTAAGACAGTTTTGGGCTTTTCCTCGCTCTATAGGAACAGACTGGGGAGGCTTGCTGCTGAAAATGTAACTGAATAGATAGTTAGCTGTTTGAATCCACTTAGATGAAAGTCAGTGATGTCTTTTTCTGCTGGCAGCTCCTGGGTAGAGAAGGGTGGTAGCTGGTACTGCTGACAGCAAAGATCTATTGCTGGATGCACACAAAAGCTATAAGACATTGGGGTAGATGGTGAAGGGAAGAAAGTTAAGCTTGCTCTAGGACACAGCTGATTTTATTTGGTCCTCTATCTTTCCTGTAAAATAACATTATAAGTTAACACATGCTTGGTTGCAGATGTAAGCTGTTAAGAGGCACAAAGGTTAGCTGTGGGGTACCTAGAAAATACACCTGAGTAGAATTCTGCCATTGCTCCAATGCTCCAGCGATTGTCCCATGAATCTGATTCTTTCTCTGAAAATTAAAATCTCTAGAACATGGTATTAGGGAGATTGGGGGCTGTCTGAAGAGTTGGTGCTAAGCAGGGTAAAGACAGCCACGAGAATGTCAGAGAAGGAAGCTACAGGGGTCATCTGTGGCATGCAGTCTCCCTAGGTCATGGATCTCTCTCCACGTGATCCGGGGTGGCCTTGGACGTCGTCTCTGTCTCTTTCTTTTCTTTGTTTTTGTCAGGGTCATGCGAGCCATTTTCCTCGTGGGTGGGGAGGTGTCTGACATTTCTAGCTGGAATGCAAATAGGCTTTGGTTGGTCCTGTGGGAAAACACAAGTAAATCCTCTCCCTGTTGTTAACAATGGATCTGTTCCTTTCCAGAGTCCATCAAAGGGGTCCTTCCATCTGACCATGATGGGAGGTACTGGGTGTGTTTGAGCCCAGTGTCGGGTGATGGGAGGAGCATCTGTCCCTCTATATACATTAAGTACATTAAGGGTAAACAGTTGGGGTCTTAGCTGCTGATTATGAGTGTCATTTCTTTTAGCCTGCATTAGACACTCATCTCTAAATAAGGCCTCCCATTGTAAAAATAATGGACTGGGGAGGGTAGACCTACAGATATACCTCCAGTCCTGGGGGGTAAGCAAATTAGTATTAAATGTTTGTAGTATAGATTTTGTCCATGGAGCATGAATTCCATCCTCACGGACAGCCTGGCGCAATTCTTTAAGTTCCACTGCTGGGAGTGGGTACCAGGCTAGTGTGTGTTGCCTTGTTATTTGTAACTTAAGAGGAAAAGCCTCTACCGGTGGGATTTGGGGGTCCTGAGACCATTGAGGCTGGCAACTTCCACTATTTCTAAGATTACACAGTTGCTCTGTGGCTGTAGGGCGTGGCTGGAATGGCACCACAGGTGGTGGTGGAGCCACAAGTTGTGGCGGTAGCCGAGGTGAAGGGGAATTTATCTGAGGATCTTTGGGAGCTTTTGAAGTCTGGGTGTTAATATCTGGGCTTGTTAAATCAGCAAGAGGGGGGTAAGAGTTAATTTTGTTGATGGGTGGGTTTTGTCTGACTTGGTCAAATTTTATTTTTTGGGCTGTTGAATCTGCTACTGGGCAGTCTGCAGGGTTTTTTTTATCACTTAAAACCTCTCCTTTATTATTTTCTGGTGTTTGTAAGCTTTCCTCAATCTTAGGTGGGTTTTTTAAGCATTGCTGGATGGCTGCCATTATCGGGAAAAAGGAAAGAGGGAAATTATGCCTTTCTTGAATTTCTTTTTTACGAGCCAGATGCGCAAGAAAGTTCCAGACCTCTGGATCAGATATGTCTGCTGATAGGATCCAGGGTGCGAATTGATACACCTCATTCCAAAATTTTAAGCTTTCCTTTTGGGAGATCTTAAGCCCTCTTGATTTAAGTGAGGCTCTAAGGGAACGAATTTGGAGTTTTTTCTGGCGTGATGTTGAATTTCCCATTATAAAAGGAAGCGTTTTGCAGCAGTCTGGCACTAAGGGGTTGGAGCGCCCTGACAAGATACAAGCCTCTAGACGGCAGAAAAAAAAGTGACGGTTTTAAATCTTTTGTTCTGGCCAGGAGCCACCTTGAATTTTCAAGTGCTCCACAGGGCTAGTTAATTTAAATTCTCACTTAACTGGTTTTAGATGTGGTTTGAATGTCTCGGGGCAGGATGACAAAACTGAGCAGAGAAGTTTACTTTAGAAGGAGAAAAGAGAAAAGAGAAAAGAGAAAGCCAAGCCCCACGAGTGGGGAGGCTTTGTGGCACAGCCGCCTTTTTTTGTCTCCTGATGGGAGATGAAGGAAAGAAAAGATTTTTGCTGCTCTCCTGGTGGGAGAGGTACTCACGAATCCTGCATTTCAGTGGGCACCAGCTGCTAGCTGGCATGAGGTTCAGAGGCTCTCACGTTGGGCGCCAGATATGGGGGCATAGGAATCTCGGGGCGCCAGCTGATGGGCGTGGCACCGGTCTCCTGCATGCACCTGGGGTGCAGCGGGTCCCGCACCGCATCGCTGTGGGT